GCTCCAAATTTTCTTTAACGGAGAGTCTCCAGACTGATCTGCGAGTGAAACCTTGAAAGCTTGCGAGATCAGGATGGTCTCACGGGGCTAGGGGGGCAATGAGTGAAATGGAGTTCTTTCTGTCAAACTGACAGACCGTAGTAGCCACGTTAGCTCAGCCATGTCTTTGTCCAAATACGTCGTCTCCTTTTCTTTTTAGGGCTTTCAGAACAAAAGTACCCAAATTTCCAAGACTCTAGTGAGCTTCATATTCCTCTTCTACTCGTTTGGCTTCTGGATAGACGAGTCAGAGTAGCGCCATCTCACTGCGGAGCTGAGTCCCACCTGGTTTTTAGACGTACAGTGTGAGCAGGTAGATCGCATCAGAGCGTCGGGTCGCACAGTGAAAGAACAAACATCGTGAGCTGGGAACTTTTGAACCCTTCATCTTACAGTGAGAGCTGTAGCTACGATTGAAAAAAATCGTATAGTTGATGCCCGGCATAAGCAGAGAGGCCCAGACTTCCCTCCTCCAGCTGCTCCCCGAGGCGACACCAGTTCAGCTCAGAGACATCGTCCCTCCATTGTGTCCTGGTCCTTCCACCAGGCCTCCTCCCAATGGGACGTACCTGTAACACCTGGAGGGAGGCGAGCAGGAGGCATCAGGAACAGATGTCTGAGCCTCCTCAGCTCGCTCCTTTCAACGTGGAGGAGCAATGACTCTACTCTGAGCTCCTCCCGGGTAACTGAGCTCCTCACCCCATCTGGGAGGGTGCACCCAGCCACTCATTTCGGCCGCTTGTATTCGCCATCTTGTCCTTTGGGTCATTACCCCGATCACATGACCGTAGGCGAGGGTGGGAACGTAGATCGATCGGTAAATCGAGAGCTTTGCCCCGCGACTCCCTCTTCACCACGACAGTCCGATACATTTGAGACGAGGACTCAACCGACCTGAAGTTTGACGAGTACAAACTATATAAATATGAAAAATTAACGTTTTAATGTCGTTATTGTTTTTATCCCTGTGTATCTAAAATGGTATTGAATATTTTTCTGGGTTTAAATCTTTTTTATTGTGACATCACCAAACAGAAGGCAGTGATTCCGTTATCGTCCCACTAACTCAGGTTTTCTGTTTCCCTTCAGGTGGAGAAGGTGATGCCGTCAGACACCTTCTACTTCTCCATCGTCAGAGACCCCGTCGCTCTGGCCGAGTCTTCCTTTGCTTATTACAAAGAGGTCGCCCCGGCGTTCCGGAAAGCCAGAGGATTGGGGGAGTTCTCCGACGATCCTAACAAATTTTACGACCCCCGTCTGCGAAACAACCACTACGCCCGCAACCTGCTGTGGTTCGACTTCGGCCTGGACCACAACGCTAACTTCTCTACGGCGCTGGCTCGGCTCGGGGTCAACATGATCCGAAGGACCTTTAAGCTGATTCTGGTGTCGGAGTATTTCGATGAGTCCATGATCCTGCTCAGACACGCCCTCTGCTGGCCGCTGGATGCGGTGGTCTCCTTCAGCCTCAACGCGCGGCAGCAGAAGCCCGCCGGCGCCGGCGGGGTGGGCGGCGGCTGGATGGGCAAAGCGGTGGCGGCGGCCGGCGTCGGTATCCGAGGCGGACACCTTCCGCCCAAAATGCCACCGAATCTTTCCCTAACCGAGGCGCAGCGAGAAAAGCTGCGGCAGTGGAACGCCTTCGACTGGTTCCTGTACAGAGCCTTCAACCAGACCTTCTGGGAGGAGATCGACAGGTTCGGTCGCACGCAGATGGAAAAGGAAGTGAATCTGCTCAGGATGCGCAGGAAGGACCTGGCGCGGGCCTGCCTCCGAGACGGCGGGAAGCCCGTCGAAGCTCACCGGATCCGGGACAAAAACATCCGACCCTTCCAGAGCGGGTTGGTGAAAATCCTGGGCTATGAGCTCCAGCCGGGGCTGGACAACGCCACCCGCACGGCGTGCATGAGGATGATCAGGCCTGAGATCCAATACAAAGACGTCTTAGACTCCAAACAGTTCCCCCCCGCCCATGGCGTCCAGCAGCAGAGCCAGAGGCTGCTGGTGGCGGTGGGAGGGACCTTTCTAAAGCAGGATTCCCCCAGGAAAGAGACGGGCGGACGGACGCTGGAGGACGTGGCGAAGGACTGGGACGGCAGCCCGTTACTTAGGAACAACCAGACTTTAGTGCGACAGCAGAGGCTTCCTGTCTGAAGCCTCGTAGAAACGGTTGGATGATAGTTTTATTTGCCTTTGTGGATAAAAACCTCTTTGATCTGAGTTTTGTAAATATCATCGTAGCCGTAGTTACTGTTGCCGTCATCACATGTTCTAATAGCAGCACCACAAAGGTTGGAGGATTCCTGCTGGGCAGCGTCAGCCGTCCTCAGATTACTCCCTGGATCTAGTTTCACTTTTAAACCCTGAAGGTCAAATTCAGCCTGAAATTCCATCCGTCAATTAAAGCAAGTCCAGCTCCCAAACTATCAATTACAAATACAATTTGTATTTATATAACAGAAAGGCATTGAGGAATAGTTTTCAGGTGGAGCCATTATTTTAAATGATTTATAGGTGATTAAACAAATAAAAAAAGAAAAATATTTAGCCTTGCCAACATTTTTTTTTCAAAATAAAAGCTCCAAAACACCATAAAGCCCATTAGAAGCTCTGGATGAACCTCAGACTTTGTAGATCCACATCTAGACTAGAACTCAAGCTAATCTGGACTGAATCAGTTGATGCATCTTTGTTCCACAGAGGTTTAGAGGACAGAGTGCCGAAAGTGCAAAAAAATCTATTTTTTCTCCTCATCAAAGGGAATCTGATCAGATAAATATCCTGATTTCCATCATTGGAGACCTTCTGCATGAGGCAAAGCCTTTGCTCCTCAGATTTAGTCCTTAGTTCACTGAAATTTACCAATAAAATCACCAAACTGGATAGAAAATAATAATAACAGAGCAGCTGATGTAACGCATGCCGGTTACATCACCTGAAATGGTCGCACAATGACCTCTGACCCCTCCTTGGAAAGGTCTGAGCCTCTAGTTTCCAATGATGGCGGCCATTAAATGAATACACATCACACATCATTTGAAAGGCGTGTGGATAAAACACCATGTGACTGTATTTTGGCCATTTCTATAAATAGATAAACATCAGCAGAGCCCTGTTCCTGGACCGTCGGGCTTCAGGGGTTCAATGACCCCTTAATTAAAGCATTATTAACCTTAAATTCGCCAAACTAAAGGACTTTAGGTCAAACAGGAAGGTTTTTTAGCTTTAGCAGCTTCCTCCATGATCCTCATTAGCAGCTGCATTTTCAGCTTTATGGAAAAGTTTGGTCTTAATAGTTTAATAATATCCAAAAAAAAAAACATTGCAGCAAAAATTGGTTGAAAAGACGACATTCACATTTAAACCTCGTCTACATTTGGATGAAAAGTGAAAAAGCGTTAATAAGTTGAAAACTAAAGTGGGACAAAATCAGACCAAACCAATTTTCAACCACTGTCATGGACCGACAGACTTGGCCTAAAAACCAACGTCTGAATGACGTCTGTTCGCCGCCGCTGTTCTGTCAGCTCAGCATGCGGCGTCAGGCCAGCATACCGTCAGTTATACGCTTTAGTGTCTCCTTGCAGCCAATCACGCTGCTTCATTTCCTCATCTAGTCAGGATTTTGTTGTATTTTTGTGCATAAAACAACAAAAATACTCCTTCACTAGGTTCCACTACAGACATTAGCTTAAAATAAAACATTGCATCTCATTAAAGAAAGAATGATCGAGATTTTTTTACAGAGAATTTAATATTAGTGAGAGGATTCTACCACTGAGTTGACAGGATATGAGATTTATTTGTTTTTGGTTTGTTTAATATGAGCCACATGTGGGTCATTTTATTTTAAGATCTACTGAAATTATTTTCAGATTACACAGAAACAGATTAATTAATTCGCAGAGGAAAAATGAAGGATTTTAGGGTTTGGATTAAGATCCACTCTATGATAACCTACTGAGCCTAATGGTTCAATCTGAAGCCATTCAGTGGAACTGCTAACCGCTAATAACGATCACGCGCGTATTACTATGTGTATGCTGAGCTGACAGAACACCGCCGCGCCGATGCCTCGCACCAAAACGGAAACGACGCAGCCGGAGCGCGTCTTTTAGAGGTCATCCCTAAGAGAGGTTCAGGAGCGAAGTACGATGAGGGAGGATGGAGCTAAGCTGAACCTGCGCTGGACGGCTAGCGAATTTTAAGTGAAAAAATTCTCAACTTTTCTGACTATTCACATTTAGTGCGAGGAGTCGCAATTGACTGCAGTGAAAGAAAAATAGCACCTGAATTCATGTCCAAAACAGGAAGAGCTAATGCTTATCTTAGCCTGTCTAATATTAAGCTATTTCAACCAAAATGGAAGACGCAGTTCGCATTTGAAAAGGTAAGAATCGGATTCAGGACAACAGAGACAAGTGGCCTGGATCGCATTGGAAAAAATCGGATCGCATTGGAAAAAATCGGACCGCATTGGAGAAAATCGGATCGCATTGGAAAAAATCGGACCGCATTGGAAAAAATTGGGATCGCATTGGAAAAAATCGGATCGCATTGGAAAAAATTGGGATCGCATTGGAAAAAATCGGATCGCATTGGAAAAAATTGGGATCGCATTGGAAAAAATCGGACCACATTGGGAAAAATCGGATCGCAT